GTCTATCCATCACCTTCTTTGTACGCATCAGCTATTTTCATTCGTAGCTTCTGATCAAGTTCAACCGTCTTCGCTAGGATTGCAGAATGAATGATTTGTCGCGGTAAGTGGCACTGACATATTGTCGTCTTCTTTACCTTTTAGATTGTTACAGAATCTGGTCAAAGGCTGTTTGTATTAAATGTCAAATTAGAAAAATAAAACATTACAATTACCATAGAGCTCTGTTATTTCATAATTGCACCAATTTGCGCCAAATTTTAGAAAATTCTATAAGTATGATTATAAATGATCGAAACTTCTAAAAATTTCACGAATTGTTTAAAACTAAATATGGAATCAACTATTCAAGCTAAATTCAGTAAGTACTTGCAAATATTCGCATTTCCTTAGAAAATATTCAAATATTCAGTGGAGGCAAATAATTCTGTCCACAACTATATATATATATATATATATATATATATATATATATGATATAAAGATATAGATTTTTATATATTAAGAAAAATATTTGGGAAAATGTTTGAGAAAGTAGAAAAAACGTCAAATGCGGGCAGAGTGAAATAAATAGCTGCTCAACTTTTAAGAACACGCATGTGTCTCCTGAGGCCTGCAGTTGATTTGCAAGATGTGGTTGAGCCAATTTTGCTCGAGAGTTTGAGGATCAACTGCCACATGTTTCTTTAAGTGAAGTGCAAGGCAGGCTTTACTTCGTGCGACAATGCTACAGTGGCAGTTAAGGCTATCATTGAGAGGTGCAGCATGCTGCTAACTTGCTTTAATATTTGCACGCAGTTCATCCTGATTTTCAAGTCGTCCTCGATCAAAACTTTGTATAGATGAGAAGCAGGACAGGGACCAGTTACTTCGCTTTGACATTTTGTTTTCCTCAGGAAAATTGTCTTTGAGTTTGTCTTTGTAACGCAAAAGTGGCTTTCCAACTTACCTGTTTCTTAGAAGTTGGACAAAGAGAAGTTGTTTTGGAAGTAAGATATTGTAATTGTGTGTCCACCGCGACATGATTTGTCATTTATGATATATCATCATCAGCAGCAAAAGCCAGAAAGAATTCTTCCAAAGCCTTTCCCAAAATGTTTCTATGGCGACGGTAACAGTACTGTTCTCTCTCATCTCTTATAGACGCGCACCCTTTTCAGCTCAGTTCCTCCATCTGTCTGGTCCATTCGTATTGAATTTTCAATCCACTGGCAATCCACAGTTAACCAACCTCTTTATCCATCTATTACCCGTTCTCCTTACTGTTAGGCCGACCGAATAACTTCTTTGTCGTTTAATCATTTTTGATATCTATAAAACTTTTCTTTAATCTAAGAGGATCTATTGTTATCTCTTAACTTTCGCCCCTAGGATTGCACATTACATTAAACATTTTTCTTCCTTTGTTTTCGAACATTTGTTTTCATTTCTGTATATATATATATATATATATATATATATATATATATATATATATATATATATATATATATATATATATATATATATATATATATATATATATATATATATAAAGTTATGAAAAACCTGTTAATTCGTATGGGTAGTCCCAAGGAGGATGAAACCCTGAGAGCTCAATGTAAATTCAGAGCTAATAATTTAAAAAGAAAACAGACCATTTTAAGGCTCCATTGTAATAGTTTATTTCACCAGTCGTTTCACCTTTGGAAAGTGATGTCTGATGATCCAGGGTACTTTAAAAGGTCTCTCGTGAAATAAACTATTACAATGGAGCCTTAAAGTTTCTTTAATATATATATATATATATATATATATATATATATATATGTGTGTGTGTGTGTGTGTGTGTGTGTGTGTGTGTGTGTGTATATATGTATATATATATATATATATATATATATATATATATATATATATATATAGAGAGAGAGAGAGAGAGAGAGAGAGGACAGATAGATTCACACACGCACGCATACACACATACCTGACACCCACCTACACACATATTTATGTATATAGATATATATGTTGAAAATACTAAAATTTAATATACAAATAAAATACTAAAATTTAAAGTGAATTTACAATTCTTTCACAGAAAACTGTTAGCAACTCCATATCCATATGTTGTATTCAATGCCACAGTATTTATCATGATTCACTCATCTACATTTTTATTCTGGTGGTCGGCGTTAGAGACGGCGTAAAAACAAGTTCAGTCAATACATTTTTAAACCTCTCGTACTTATTATTATTATTATTATTATTATTATTATTATTATTATTATTATTATTATTCAATGAGTGAGCAGCAAATCAAAAATTTGACGCTAGTATCCAAATATACGAAGTACACACTGCACCCAATGTGCAACCCAATCTCATAATGTTTATATCATGCACATGCATCACAGCCAAATATGTCCGATAGGGTGACAGGTTTTGATAAAAGCAACGTATAATCTTGCAATCGGGGTCCATTTAGAAATAACTTTTGGTCGAATAAGTACTCTCAAGCAGTTTCCGGTTGAAGATGTTTCTAAGTCTGCAGATGAGACTAACAGATCGCCTTGGCTTTCACATCTTTAAAACTTAAAAAAAAAAAAAAGAAACAACCTTCTCGACTCCCAGCCATAATACTTTCTCACTACTACTTCTTATGAAGAGTGTCTTAGTCACTAGGCTCAATGCCCAACTGGTTTTCCTCAAGCAAATAACAATCAAATCTCTGGTGTTAAACGGTATATTTTCTGTAGTCAATTTTAAATATTATTCACTCAATGAGTATTCAAACCAGTTGTAACTGATAAGTTTTTATTAATCAGTTCACCCGAAACAATGAGATAAAGCCACTAAGATGGCTGGCATTATTTAGAGTGAAAAAAGAATAAGAAATCTTTCGTGGGAAAAAAGGGCAATAAAAGAACATTTTTCAGAAAGATAGATGACGATCGACATTTAATTTTTTGGAGATTGTAAGTGGCATGGAAGCAAATAAGCGGAAGGTATTTCTATAGGCAAGAAGTGTGAGAGAAGAAACTATTAGAATAGAACTTGCGTTTACATCTAGCTATTTCACCAGAATAACAATGAGACCTGGTTGCTATTCTAGTAGTACGCTTAAATTCTTGCTGTCGAAGTATCAAGGAGAGTTCTCTCGTCTGGATGGTTTCTTCACCTCATTTCTATTTGACTTCAACTCTTCGGAAAAGTTTCAAATCCGCTGTTGTCTTCATCTTCCATAATTTGCTCTTCTACATGGCAAACTTCGAGATATTTATCAATGATTTTTTTCCAGATTGATTCTATGCTCGTATGAAGCAGGACAATTCATTAAGGATAGAGTTCTTTTTTTATAACAACTGACTCGAACCTTATGGCAGGGCTTCGGTGATCCGTTACAATGTCCAAAAGGATATTTTTGTGTGTTTTATTCATACAGTAATAGACAATTTCCCCATCTGCATCTCAAAGAATCTGAACGGAACATAATTTCTTAAGGCTAATGCAAAGGTTATATTTTTTCAAATGTAAATAGAATGCAATATAAACAATAAGATGCATGAAGTTTTGATATTGAGTCTTTCATAAAGTTAAACTTTGTATGTCCCACTTTATATCAGTAGATTGGTGTATAGAAGCTTTTAATTTTTATATAATCTACGTAAAATATTTTAAAAGCATATTAGTCTCTCTTTCTCTTTATATATATATATATATATATATATATATATATACATATATATATATTCTGGTGAGTCTAAATGAAAATAATAAAAAACGAAAGAATATTAATCTATAACCGAGTGTGTCTGATGATTTTAATTTTTTTTATTTTTTTTATTCAATATATATATATATATATATATATATATATATATATATATATATATATATATATATATATATATATATGTATGTATGTATATCCAGGTACGATGAAAACGAATATAGTATACATTCAACGTTCGTAATTTAATTTAAAAGAGGGCTCAATAGTAGAGCAATATTATTTTATGTATTTTGCTTTTGAAACCAAATTAATCGTTTACTCGCCAGTAATTTACAGTCGGCTGAGGATACGCACCGTTATATGTTGAAACACTGCTGCAATTGTGCAGCGATTTTCACATGTTTTTTGTAATATCCTATAAATAATCTGTCTCTCTCTCTCTTCCTCCCTATCACTCTCTCTGTCTGTCTGTCTCTCTCTCTCTCTCTCTCTATATATATATATATATATATATACATATATATATGTATCTTCTGGGTGATTAATTTTTCATTCAAATCTAAAAAAATAAAACATCATATATGTTTATTTTGATAATTTTATGCAATTTTTTTGGATAATTTTTTAATTCATGTTTGTATAGCGAGAATTTATGTCTGACTTGTCAAAATTCAGTCGTCAGTTAGAAAACCAACAACGTTGATCATAAAAAAAAATTGTTGTCTTCTGTTATACAAGCAAAGTATTCGATCCGAATAAAATAAAATACAATTATCAAAATAAGTCAAAATAATCTTTATATACATTTTCTTGAAACTGCAGAGAATCGTTTAATAAATAAATGACAAATAAGTTTACTGAGTTAATAATTTTAATATAGACTTTTAAAAACATAAAAGTTTCTGTCAAGGCCATCTCTATAGCTTCGTCCAGAGTAGGAAATTAAAGTAAAAAAAATAAAATTAAAATAAAATAAAACGTTAGAAAACAGATGTTCTGTAAATAATGATTATACAAAAATTCTACAGATGTAAGAGAAGTTGTATGACAATTTTTTTCTGTTCGTCGGGCAGGTATTTGACTAGTAAGTAAAACGCTTTTGCAATATTAATTAAGTAGACCATCATTTTTGGTACGACGTGTATAATAATACTGCGTATATGTGTATAACATACTATAAATAATAATAATAATAATAATAATAATAATAATAATAATAATAGTTTATATGTGCATTGTCATTTATCCGTTTATCAGTAATATTTACTGTTTGTGTATATAATAGCTTGTGCCATTTTTTCTTTTCTTCCCTCCTCCCACAACGCAATTCCCCTATCTTCTTCTTTCCCGTTGTTTCTTTTTTATCCGTGGACCTGATCCAACCCACCATAATGTTTATACTTCCTCCGTATTCGCTGCAGTGTTTATTGCACGCCCCACCCTCGTATTATTCCTTTACCATTCATTGTTCAACATTTCGAACTCCCCACGGCGAAAGGAAGCGAGTAGGCGGGTGAATTTCCCGCTCTCTCCCTCCCGACACGTTTATCCTCCTTTCGTTCGGGATTTTGTTCTTGTTTCGAGTTTTCCTGTTTACTGCATTTCTGGGTTTTTTTTGTTTTAAATTTTGTTGCTTGTTAATATTTTTTCTACCTCAGACTTAATCTTTCTTTCTTTTTTTACCACCCTTTCTAAAATACTGGCCTCGCTGATCAACTAACAGCGCTATTTTCTCATGTTGTTTTACTTTTCTTCGTTTTTTTGTTTTTGTTTTTGTTTTTCCCCTTTAATACAAGTTTTTCCCATTTACTCTACGGGATAAGGCTTCTATCACGACCATCAAGCGCGCGCATACGTGTGTGTGTGTGTGTGTGTGTGTGTGTGTGTGTGTGTGTGTGTGTGTATGGGGGTACGCACCCGTGTATGTGTGTGTACGCGCGTTTCTGAGATTTCTGTGTTCGTGTGTTCGTCTGTAAATCTCGTTATTTCTCTTCTCCCATCATGCCATGTTTCTCAGTTGTTTTCGAGTTGTTTTGTCCTGACTCTCTCTACCAGTTGCATTTTTGACAGAGGAGAAGACACAAATTTAGGCCAAGTAAAAATTAAAAAAAGAAACGTAAACAGAAAAGAAAATACAGAAAATATTTTTTTTTTTTTAAATTGTCCAATTACAATGGGCTAGAAATGGTAGGAGGGTGTGAATTCGTACCTAAAGGTTTAATTATTTGGAATATAAGTCATAATAATACATTCAAATTCGTATTACAGCATTGCAAATTCTTTTAAATGAATTTAATAAAAAAAAATGTAATTTTAAACAAATAACCTCTGGAGTTGATTCATTGAATTTTATATTTACTAGAATATACGTAGACAAAGAGGGATAAATTTTGAAGTAGTGCACAATTGATCCATTAGTTTTAAATCCAACCATTATACGTTAATTTTTAAACTTAGAAATTATTTTTTTACATCATTTAATCAAACTTTAAACATTGTCAAGTGAAAGTGGAGGTAATTTATATTGTTAGTGGACTTTTTCGTTTTTATATTGTGTTCAGCGAGAATAATAGTCCTGAATACTAAACAACTCCCCAATAGGAATGGCCTTATTACTGGTTTCATAGAACACAGTATAGAAAAGGAAAAGAAAATATACAAAGAAAGAAAAATATCCCCAACATGAAAAGGACTAAAGTTTTAGCCGAATGTACTCAATAATCAATATAGAATGTTACTACTCACTGTTAATGTTGCTAATCCTCATAAAAATAATATTTTAAAAACAATGGAAAAATAAAAATAGCCTTGTCTATAATGGGCAACAAAACATGGATAAAAGTAAGATTGAAGCCAATATATATGTCTGTTGTATTTTAATAGGCACTGTGATTGTTTATTAAACAGTATAAGTATTTATTTTCATCTACAGCCCTGAATACATGAGAAGTTTTATTAAAGAACAATATGCGCTCTCAGACACATATAATTGTGATTAAATAAAGCTACGTCGGAACAAGTACTTATTAACTGAACTGGGATGCTAAATTTTCATAGCATGATTTTCGATCGATCTTATTAATAAAAAAAATATCCATAAAATGATTATACACAAAGGCAAAGAAGAAAATTATGTTGAATAGTAAAATCTGCCAATCTATCACACCTTATTCATATCTATCTATCTATCTATCTATCTATCTATCTATCTATCTATCTATCTATCTATCTCAGACTGTTTATTATCTATCAATATATATATATATATATATATATATATATATATATATTGAATGATAGAAGATATATATATATATATGATTCACTGTACGCTTACACATGCATATATATATATATATATATATATATATATATATATATACATGTAAATATTTTCCAATGTACCTGTATGCATATATATATATATATATATATATATATATATAGATAGATAGATAGATAGATAGATAGATAGATAGATATATATATATATACTATATACACGCACGCACATGTATGTATATATATATATATATATATATATATATATATATATATATATATATATATATATGTAAACACATACACACATACAGTTGCATGTATAGTAGTTTGTAACCCCAGGGTTACAAACTATTATCCATGCAACTGTATATGTTAGCTCTATCACGGATATTGAGCACTTTCCACTAAGTACCGCGCATATAATATGTACACACACACACACAAACACACACACATATATATATATATATATATATATATATATATATATATAAAGTTAGATAAACTGCTAAATAGATTGGCTACGTATACACATAATCTCACATACACATACACACATGAATGTTTGTGTGTGTATGTGGTCAACATGATTATACATTTTTATTATTTTACGCCACAATGTGTTAGTGTTGTTAAAATTGTATTTACTTTGCAGTTGTGCAATTGAAATCAAGCAAATCAACTAAAATGGATCATTTTTCTTTTGTTCCTTCTTCCATTTTCTCGCCATCGGCCGACTCCTGCTAAGTCGTGATGTGATACCCACGAATATTTACCAAACAATGATTCACTCGAACACTCACTTTTACACACACACACACACACACACACACACACACACACACACACACACACACATGTTTAGTTTATAGCTGAATACATGTTTATTTTTGTTTCAGTTCTTTTTTTCATATTTTCATGATTTGTCATCTTTTTTTCCATGTGAGGCGATAAAGCCACTAAGACACAAGAGGGTTGGACAGAGTGAAGGGAACTGAAAAAAAAAACCTTACCGAAGAGCGACTACAATAAAAGCACGAGACAGCAGATGACGATTGTAGTTGTATTTAACATTTTAAAAGCGGAAGAATCTATTTTAAATAAGAATATACAACACTCAACACATATTTTTAATCTACAGTGTGGTCCTTAAGTCTTGTCACCCATACATAATATAATTTTCGATTTCAGATGACAGGCAGGAGCTCATATAGACCTTCACGATGTGACAGTTCCAATGAAAGGGAATAATCTAAATCCAGTACTCGTGTTTTGTATTACTGTTTTACTTGTTCTATTGTTCTCATTACTTTTTGATAGGGGTGACCCACCCCTTTCAGACCCACCCCCTCCCGTAGAATGAAAATTTGTACATTTTGTAAAAATTCGTTTATACTTTGTTCATTAACTTCTCATGAAAATATTCAATATTTCACTTTATTTTTTATTTTTGCAAGGCAAAATGCTATGCATATATAGGGAAATAATACATTAATACATATATATGGAAAGAGGTTTAAAATGCATATTAAGTTTTTATATATATATATATATATATATATATATATATATATATATATATATATATATATATATTAAAGAAGATAAAATAATCCATAAATTTTAGTATTAATACATATATGTATATATGTCTTTGTGTCTGTGTGTGTGTGGACACTTCTGCTGTTTTATAACTAACATTTGCTGTAATATTTTTTAACCAATTCATCCCAAGCAAAGAGATAATGCAACTAAGACGCAAAAGGCTACTCGGAGTGAAAGAAAATGAGAAGACATTAGAAGGAACTTGAAACCCAACCCTAAACAGGAAACGAGGAATAAAGTTCTTTAGATCTGAAAGCCCCTGAAGTCTGTGGACCGGACGATAGGTAAACCTAAAGTGATATCGAAAGTGATATAATTTATAAATTTGCATGTTAAATTATTTACACCTTCGATATATTAAATAAATTCTCATTTTTGTAGACGTTAGGTGTAAGCAAATAATAATTACTATAAAAAAATTATTGTAAAATCTCATTTGTGTTCATCGTCAGAAGTATTTTCTTTCAACAAATCTACATTAGTGAAACAAAAATTGATTTAGGTGAAATAATATCAACTCATTTCATGATTTATTTATATCACAGAGTTGAAGTACTATAACCCCACCACGCAGAGTTAATATACGAAATTTCAATTTATCGCTTGTTTTTACTAAATTATCACTGAAACTAGGCTGGATAAGTAAACTATAAATAAATAAGTAATATTAAAACCGAGTTGAAATAAGGCCTGTGACGACAAAGCTAAAGATCACACAATAATCATATTTTGTCTCACTAATGGAGATTTAGTTGAAACCACTTTCATATATCAACTCGTCACTAGTCACTGTTTCTTGCCTTTCAAAAATTTTAAAGACAACAATTCGGTTTACCGTTCAGAGTTCCTCTAAATCTATGTTCTTGTATATCTGCTGTTAAAACTTTTAGAATTCGTCCCATTTGAAGATATCCCACCTAAAAACTTCATCTATCTCAGATACATAGATAATATTTTTCTATTATATCTTCAAAACATGCACACTATTAATAAGAATTTTTTTTTTAAAAAAAGTTAGATTCTAATGTTTATCAACTCACTACAACCACAAAATAAATTCAGGTTTAATCATAAGTTGTTCTTTTTCGAACTCTCAGAATATATAACATGGAATACCTTGATGCTAAAGAAAAATACAGAAAAAAACGTGTTTAATTTTCTTTCACTATCCACATCATTTAATTCTCAACATGACAAAAAGAGAATATAAAATACACAAGGCTAAAGAATTAAGTGTTATCAAAACCAAATATACTAACTTTGTCACCGTGTCAAATAAACTTGAAAAAGATCTGTCACAGACATTAAAATTATAACCCCTACCTCGAAGAAAATGAAAGATTTGCTCATGAAATAAATATAGTAAAAAAAATCTGTAGGAGTTAAATTGATGAATTACGGGAGCTTAGGAAAGAATTGAGAATTAGATGAAAAATTAAATTATTTCCGACTACATAGTAACTGAAAACCGACTATTAAAAAGAATGATAGAAATTTAGGGAAACACTGCATAAATTATGTCTCTAAATTTAATGTCTTTAATGAAAATATTCTAATCGAAATAATGTCGCCTGTGTGGAGAGAATACGATGAGAAAAAGAATGTCGTAGACTAGAGATATTTTATTGGGTGCAGTGATTCCCTGTAAAAGAGTAAAATAGTTTATAGTGTAGGAAGTGCAATAGAAATGGTTCACTCATGTGAGGAAAGTCTGTTTAGATAGGTAAAGAAAAGAAAGCCGAAGAACTTAACGGCTGAAAAGTATTGTGAACAATTTTATGTAATGCAGATAATCACAGAATTCAAAGAGTTTTTAAAGAAACCAAAGTATGACAAATAAAGACAATAAAATTCCCAGTGAATCAGAAGAGTAAAATGAAAGTAAATGAGAAAAGAGGAAAACTGATAAATTTATGACATTGTGTATATAGTGACCATATTCTTCAGAATATAAAGAATGATTCCAAATATCTTTGCAGAGAGAACGGAAGTATTAAAGATCTGAGGAATAGTTTAAATAATTTTGATCCCTAAAATGTTCGGAACAAGTTTCTTCCCTCTGTTTCCTTCTCCAGACCACGTTCTGTCATCCACTTGCTTAAGTCTGCCAGATATGTCACGCGTTGTTTTTCCTTGTCTCTCTTTCTTTCTATTCGTTCGTTCCATGAAATCCTTCTGTAGAACCACATCTCTGTCGCATCGAGTCTCTTCTCCATCTTTGAGGAAATCGTCCATTCGCTGCTGTAAAGAAGGACAGATGTCTTGTTACCAAAGAAATCCTCCTTTTTCTCAGCACTCTGGCCAGCTTTTGGAATGTGTTCTTGGCCATCCCAATACGTCTACGGATCTCAGAGTCGCACTTACCGTCCTCTGCCAAGACGCTTCCCAGATATTTAAACTCCCGCGTCTGCTTGATTATAGTGATCCTGACATTCAAATCGCATTTTGGTCTCTTGCTCTTACTGATAACTGTGCACTTCGTCTTCTTGTAGATTTTGCTTAGTCCCTTCTTCTCACTCTCCGTCACTACCTTCTGTAGGAGATTTTGTAATATCTTTTCCGTATCTGCTATCAGTACTGTGTCATCTGCGTATCTTATGTTGTTAAGATTGTGGTCCCGGTAGGCTTTCCAATCACCAGAACAATGGCATCAATAAGAGTAATGATATTCTTTATAAAGAATCACTCGGCATTCATTGACCGAGCAGTGAGTGCTGCTTTCGGTTGAAATTATAATATCTTTCATTTAAAACAATTTTTCAGGAAATATTTTCTCGATTCTAGTAACTTCTATTGATCTTTCCAAAAAATTGAAAGTGGGGTAGTTCCTTCCTAATCTTTTGTTTGAAGTCGTGAGGAATGTCAACATCGTGTTTATGTGATTATTTTCTCTTCGATTTGCACATGCTATCTATTTTAGTTGTTGCTGCTGTTGAAAGTCATCCATTAATGTGATTTCTCTTATTTCGAACACAATACTTTGGAATTCACTTGCTTCGAAGAAAGGATACTCCTCGCTAAAACCTACAGGCTTCACTCACTAGAAGTTATTTGTATAAACTATTGTATTTTGAACAATTTGTTTTATCTTTATATTAAGTTCATCCCCGAGGGACCATTTTATTTGTAACGGTCATATGGGCCATAGACATCCTTCTTCAAACTGTTTTACTTCCATTCCTGCAATAAAGAAAAGCGATTGTCTTTTTCCGTTCACACATTTCTAATTGTTGCTGCTCTGCAACATAACATTGTAAAAGTCGTGTAAAAATGTATCGTAGAGTATGATGTTCGCCAACTGTACCATCGTATCCATTCGAAGGTTCAGTATTCTATTAAGGAGGATATATAGTGTATTAATATGGAGCCTGCGTAAAGTTGACGCACTCTCCTTACGATGGAAAATGTACACATATTGATCTGCATATGTGATAAAATGTGCACGTAACTGAGTAGCTAGAATGCTCATTCTCAGAAGACTCTCACCATGGTCAAATTTCACCATAGTTGATTTATGGTTTGCTGATTCGTCAGGAAGGTAACTTCTTGATATTATCGGTGTGAGGTGACGATCCTATCGTGCGACACCGTGGGAAGGTACTTGAATACCATTCATACCACATTTTCTCTTAAGACAGAAGGCCGTCCATGGTTTTGCTAGCACGAAGTCACAAGTCACAGTGACCGAGTGTTTGAGCGAACTGGCATTGTTTAAACTGTTGATCAGATTTTGCGCTATTTTCTGAGAAATTGTAGACAAAGTTTATTCATCATAGTTGCAGCCTAAACCCCAGAGATCTGTTTCGTAGCATAATATACATTTAAAAGACATCGACTTTTATACGAATATATGCTCAATGTAACATGTAATCGTGCATAAAATGAAGGCGTTTTGGAGTGATATAAATATTACAATATTTCCTTATATTAATAATAGAGACATCCTATCTTTTTACATTATTATTTCGATCTTTATTCAAATTTAGTCACTGTATCTTTTCTTTTTCTTTTACAATCTTATATTCCGTTATTTATAAAGGAATAATTATTCCCAACCAAGCCACGCATATATCTATATTAGTATTTCAGTTATTTGTAAGTAATCCTGTTATAGCTTTGTACTCCGAGCCAGAATGCAATATATGTTTGGTATACTGTTCTTGTAAGTTGGAATGATTAACGTTTTCAATCCGAGAAGCATATATAATAATATTAAGCGGAAGTTAATTAGTATGATTACTGTAAGAAAGCAAAGAGAAAAACCTACATAAATGTAGATGAAAGGAATATTTACCTGGCCCTTTAGGTTATATTTAGGTTTACTCTATTTAGTGTATTGAGCACTTTAAATAGTTACTTTTGCTTTAGTCGTTTTGGAGTGTGTTTTTTTCTCCTTTGGACTATGAGCTTGGATTCTGGACGATTGTATTCGCCTCAATTCATATTCTTAGGTCTTTCTTTTTTTATCCTTATTTTCCTTGGGTATTAGTTTCTTTAATTACAAGCCAAAATACCAAAGGTTTTTCAAACGAGTATAACTATATATATATATATATATATATATATATATATATATATATATATATATATATATATATATATATATATATGTGTGTGTGTGTGTGTGTGTGTATGCATGTATGTATTTATGTAAATATTGAGGGATTAAACAGGGATTTGGGTTTAGTCAGTGATTATAATTTCCACAGGGAGACCTCCAGCCAACAAGATTCCTCGGAAGAGTAAGTCCCACTTCATTGTTTATTTCTCATATTGTTGAAAAAGAACACAGGCGTGCACGAAATTCCGATTTTAGAATTTTTCTCTTCTTGCTTCATTCCAATCAAAAGGTTAATATATAATAAATATCAATTTTAGTGACAATATTGCCATCATATTGTTAATTTTATTCTTCAAATTTCATTAACCGGCCTATTCAATATATACATATATATGAGTTCCCATATATCTGCCTTTTATCATGTGTTAGTAATATGTATTTGAAACCTAGTAAATACCAAGATGCTAAATGTTTTTATATATATATATATATATATATATATATATATATATATATATATATATATATATATATATATATATAACACCTCACCGCTACAATTCACTGTTGAGTATGAATTGACCGTTAAACAATTTGAATTATAATAAATCTGGTTGCAAAATTTTGGCATAGTTACTTATTATGGTTAGATTACAGTTTATTTTTTAAATAAAATTAAAAAAAAAAAATATAACTGGCAATAAATGGGATTAATATATATGATAAAAAGTAAATGAAAAAATTATATAACTGAGTGGGGAATATTCATATTTTAATTTTTTTAAAAGTATATAATTAAAGGGAGATTACTTGTCGTGATTTAAACAAAAAAAAAGAACATGAATATATATTTCATAGTAATATATTTAAAATAGACCGTAATTAGCATTAAAAATTAAAAATCAAAAATTAAAATAAATATATATGTTGTACGCTCCGGCCTTCTTCAGGTTGTTGGAATGTCGAACTCAGCCCTTTATTTCGCTCACTGGTGTAGACGTTGCAATAAATATGGCGACAAAGATGAGGACAATAGTCCGAATAATGTAAATAGTGTACATAATACCTCATCTCAGAAATATAGACATATACTGAAGAAGGCTGGAGCGTATAACGGCCGAAACGTTGTAATAAATATGGCGACAATTGATGAGCACAAGAGTCCGAATAATGTAAATAGTGTACATAATACCTCATCTCAGAAATATAGACAGATAATGTCAGAGCTATTTACTTGGATTTTAACTGAATCTATCTCAGCTCATTATTATTATTATTATTATTATTATTATTATTATTATTATTATTCTCCTACGGAGTGGTCGGCGTTGATCAAGTGAATATCTTTTCTTCGAATTTCTATTACATTTGTCGCTATGTCCGACATTTTCAATAAATTCCATGAAATCTTTCTTATGTATATATTAATGTTCATTTGGATAGCTCGAATGGGTTCCATATTTATATTAACTCACTTGTGTTCATTTTCTTAATAACTGGTGACTTGCATCCGAGATTAAGTGACAGCAACACTCTTTTTAATATTCGAGCTGTTCCCAACAATGTCGTCGTCTAGTTGCTTTCAACTTTTCATCTAATTTCTAATTCGCCCAATCACTTTCTTAGGTTCTTTGAGACTGTTCGTAGTACTTCGATAATTATTGTCATGACTGTCACCTTCATGTTCCACATATCCATCAGCCCTGTTATATTTTTTTTTATTTCCTTGTAGTTGAGCAAGATCAAATCAGCTCCTTACCTAAATGGGTGACCGCTTGGGTATAACAGGTGATGTAAGCTTGGATATGCAAGCGGTGTAATGGATAATGGCTCAGAATTGTTAATTGGAGAGCTGAGTTGCATTTCCAGGTGTGTTCGTTATATTCGCTTACGCAAAAATCCTCCTAGGAAAGGTAGGAATCCACTTATTCTCCCTCAAGCTAAGGGTTAATTAGTAATACTTCTATCAGTAAAACCGTTATTATATCCCCCTAAAAATTGCGTGGGAAATATTTAAGATTCAGCCTTGAATAATCCATTGAGGTTGATATGTCCCTAAACAAAAACAACCAACCATGCATTTACTTCTTGTCAACATGAAGGCTTCTTGTCTAGATTGAATTAACCGTGTTAATATTTGTATATTTACATGTTTTGTCTTTCTTTCTGTTTAGAGTGGAATTGATTGAAATCGAAGATTCTTAAAGGATGTCATATATTATAACCATTTAATAATTGATTGAGATCAAATTTTTGTAAACCAATATACATAACCAGTAGAAATTTATAATAATTCATTCGTTTTTAATTCTTTTTAATAGGATTCAATACATCATGGTTGTTTAACAATAACGCAGACACAGCAATACATTATGGTTGTTTAACAATAACGCAGACACAGCAATACATTCTATTGATTTTACGTTACAGTATTTCGTCAATGACACTTGGAAGAATTTATAAACATAAATTAATTTTTTACAGCATCTAGACAACAGAATATTTTGTAAATATTTGTGATTATATGCCGTGAACATGAAAATGAATTGACGCTAATGCCTTTTTCTGACAAAAAAAAAAAGAATATAAAATATCTACATGTTGTTATTGGTTAATCGAAGCCAATTTTGTACAAAATTAATATTCCAAACCCTTTGTAACTTAAAATAGTTTTGGTCGGATTATCATTTATGTAAACAGAAGAATTCATGATAGAGATTCATGCCTTAAGCCTTTATTATACATTCATTTTGTCATCAATTTTATTTATTTTCTCTCTAAAAAATGTGTCGGGAATCATAATACAATTACTTGTCTTTACTATTATACTTTGTTTAACGTGGACATAACGTAAAGTTGTTTTTTTCTTTCCTTTTCGTATTGCTGTCCCTAATTTATTTATTTTCTGTTTGGCTCATATTTCAGTAGAATCATTTCCGTTCATTTCCACAAATTTCACATCCCCCCCTCTCTCTCTCTTGCCTCTCCCCCCCTCTCTCTCTCTCTCTCTCTCTCTCTCTCTCTTTGTCTATCCTGTCTTTAACATTGTTATTTCTTCTTGTTTTTCAATTTATCACTTCGTTGTCTTTTCCTAAGAATCAAACTATCCACCATTACATCCTATACGAGATTCAACCTCATTCTATTTATAATTTCCGTTGGCATTGCTCCCTTTTCAAAAGGGCGGATTTTTCATCATTTTTGTCAAAATTTAATTCTGTTCCTTTCATCTTCGACTTCCGTCACAATTCATGCCTTCTTCCTCGCTTTTGCCTTAATAATATTTTCTTTATTTCTTTCCTCTCACAATTGAGAATAATTTTTTGTAGAGATGTTATTTTACTTTTCCGTAACCATTTTCCTTCAGGTAATGAATTCAAATATAGTTTCCCTTACATATATTTTAAAATTTTAGCAATATAAATGTCTAATTTTTTTAATATTCAAAAATGCATGCTTCCCCATTCATAATACGAGTATTTTTTTAAAACATATACAAGAGCCAACAACAAAAATGTCATTTTTTTTTAATTATAAGTACTAAATATACCACCGCATCAAAATTCACTGCATGAAGAGACAGACATTCGAGACCTGCTGCCATTTCTCCTCGCTATATCATGTACATATGTTCAATAATGCTATAATCCTTATTCAATTTATTTTCTTTTTCTAACGGATAAATATCTGAGACCAGCAGTTTGAGAGCAAATAATTGTGGCTGTCTTTTAGAGTTATCACTGCCTTTCTTGCATTTAAAATTTTGAAGGATTTTCGAAACAATATAAACATAGCCAGAATTAGAAGTTGTTGCAACGATGCCATTTTCTGCGCTCTTTTCTATTAGGCCAATTTAGATTAACTGCATGTCTTTGTTTGTTGTGGATTCTTTCTGAATGTCTGTGTGTGCGTGGCTACTTGTTTTTAATTATACTGTTTTTTTTTTTTAAATATATTTCCGTTTCAATTGGACTCTATTAGTATAAAACTTATCTTATATTTATCTTTCATTAAATTCATTATTAATCCCGTGAAATTTCCTCTCCGTTTACTTCGATATTTTTATATTCTTTCAATAAAATTGGTTTTTGCTTTTAGCCTCACTAGATTTTTTTCTTTTTTGCTTTCTTTAGCCATTTAAATTTGCCGAAATTCTTTTACTTATTTTTTCTTCTACTATTTTGTTTTTAATGATGCTGTTTTTTTTTTACGTTTTTTTCTTCCTTTTGCTGGTTTTCCGCTTAAATTTCTTTTTTTTTTCTTTCATTCTTTCTATTTTTTTTTGTTTTTCTTTCCTTTTTCACTGTACTTCCTTACTTTTTTTCTTTATTTTGTCTTTTTGACTTGATTTTACTTTATTTATTTCCGATTCAACTAATGATTTTATTGTACTTTATATTGTTTATTTTTCTTTCAGTTAATTTCTTTTAAAGTATTTTCTGTCTTTTTTCTTCCCTTGTTATTGTTTTTTCTTCTCTTTCTATCCTATTTATTTTCTCTTTTTGTCTTGTGTTTCTTATTCTTTATTTCTTTCTTCATTTCTTTCTTTCTTTTTCCTTTCTTTCTTTCTTACGTTTATTCTTTTATTCAATAATTTTGACTGACTTCATTTTTTATCCATTTCCCTTTGCTTTTTTTTTCTTTTGTGTTTAGGTTATCTGCTCTCGCTTGTTCTTATGTATACCAACTTGCTTTTTTATTTTTTGTTTTCGTCTTTCTTTCTTTCCGAATAAGAAATAAATATCCACCATAGTTACTATTAATCCCTATCTTATTCAAAGCTGTTTTCGTTTTACAATTCACCTTATTTTATTTCACCAAGAAATTACCCTTCTGTGTTTTTATTCTCTCCAGACCGACACTCTTTCTCCCACTCTCAATTCCCTACCATTAATTCACGCCTTCGTATTCATTAAAATTTCCTTCTCGTCTAATTTCCACTTCTCGACTTTTCTTCATTGCTGTTCGTCCTATCCAGGGAGACCTCACACCATTTTATTTGCTCAGGTTTCCTCCTCGACTCATAAGACGTTTCACCCCGACCGTTTTTTCCTCTCCATTCATTACATCTATTGTTGTTCATAGCCTTCACTTTTCTTTTGAAAATCCGATGGCACGAGTACTTTAGGTGCAAGGTGACGGACATTGTTGACGCCAGTGGGTAGCGGAGATGTAGGCACAATATCGTCCCATCTCTGAAACGCTAGACCCGCCCACACCCAGATATTCACTACCGACACTCCTATCATGAGCCTGAAAACCAATTAAACAATACCAGACTATTATTCAGTGAAATATGTCAAAATTCTAATTTCTTTAAAAGAGCCGAAACATTTAGGAAAAGCAACGATCAATTCGGGGAAACAAAAGTCAGATTAAAAAAAGATAAAAATGGTAAAATTTTAGTCGATCTTAAAACTCGAAAAAATACAAACTCGGGACAAAAAATGACTTAATTTAGAATAATCGATAAAAGAAATTGTGTCACATTCAAATATTCAAAGCGTTCACTGTAGATTGAAAGTTATTAAGTTAGTGTTCAATCCATGGGCTCCAGTATTGTGACCTTGTGTCAGATTCAGATAGGTTTAATTAATATAGCCAGGCTTGTATTTTGGTTGAGATAGTTGTAAATTCCCTAAGATCTCCAAAGACCTATTTTCAACTCCAGATGTTAATTACAAACAAATAATTTTTATTTATTAGACATGGAGATTGAAAACACTAAATATGCGGCTTTGTACTGTACATAAATTAAACCTAATATAATTATCTCTGTCTCTTCCTCTCTCTCTCTCTCTCCATATATATATATATATATATATATATATATATATATATATATATATATATATATATATATATATAGTTAAACCGAGAGAGCCAGACAACTTACCATATATATATATATGTGTGTGTGTGTGTATGTGTTTAATAAAATATAGTTTTAGCTTTAAGGCATGTTATATTTATGGGTTAAAGTGCTCACTATCAGGGATAGAGCGTATATAAATATGAATACGGACATTGAGGTTAACACCTAGTGGCGACAGTCTGTTCCATGCTTAAATATGAAGTTTGCGTTTAAGCATGAAAACAGATTGTGGTCGCTGGGTGTTGACCCGAACGTCCACATTATGTGTGCGTGCATATATATAGATAGATAGATAGATAGATAGATAGATAGAGAGAGAGAGAGAGAGAGAGAGAGAGAGAGAGAGAGATCTGGATTGATAGATAGAATTAAATTGCAATAAGTAAACTGTACAGGTGTCTGTGCATATATATATATATATATATATATATATATATAAACACACACGAACACACATACATATATACGTGCATGTGTGCGCGCATGTGTATACTGTGTCAGATTTTATTATGCAATTCAAAGTATTCATTATAAATTTGGTAGTAATTTACTAAATGTTTACTCAATACAAGGCCAATAGTCCCTCAAAGTAGAGGACTACTAATTTAGGTTGTGTTCTGGATGAAAAACGAGGAGAATAGTACAGATTCTAAGGATATGTAGGATAGATAGCCAACTAATACTAATTAGTCCTTAGACTGAAGAGTGAAAAATAAAGAAAAATGAACGAATAATTTCTTAATGAAGGAAAGGAAGAATGAAAAAAAGAAATAAAAACCCGACAAGACGTTAAAACAGGATGGGGAGATGGATAGAGCCTGACGGGGATAAGAAAGTTAAAGGTCGACAATGGTTGAAAGTGATGATCTCCCGCTGGGTGGGTGGGGCATATTGAAAGTGGGGGTTCCGGTAAAAGCTGTCAGCCTAATAAGTTATGCAAGAGTCACAATATAAACGGTTAGCATAAGAGCCTCCCATTTTCTTTTCGTTTTTTCTTTCTCTTTTTTGATTTATTTGTCTTAAGTAAAACTAAGTTGAAATCACCTTGGAATGACGTGACAGCTTTTGTTTCCCATTCTCCATTTTCTCCCTCAATTACCAGCACTATATACACACCCCGCCTATATATTTTTTGCTTCAGCTCCGGAACCGTCCATGTTATCCACCCGGCACCACCCACACATTCGGATCGCATTGTTTTGTCCAAATGTTCTGCACCAATCGTATGCATATGAGACACCGTTATAATGGGATCTGAAATTAGATAAAGAAACAATGACAACAGAAATAAGAGATTAATAAATGAATTATTTTAAAAAGCAGGGGGCATTATAGAAAATCTAAGAAGGAATCGTTGTAGTCTTCTGTCCATATGATGAGCGTGATCTAGGTCTTCTCATTAATTGGGTAACCTGATCGCTGTCATTTTTTTTCCTTCTGTTTGCTAATACATAATCAGACTGGTTTCTTCTCGCTTTTGTCTCCTTTGTTTATATTTGCTATTTTTAGTCCTTTTGTTATTATTTTCTCCTGGTTTATATTGAGAAATATTAACAGTTATAAATAAAGTAATTGTTTTAAAAACGAGATATTAAAAATATTCTATCTCGAAAATAACATCAATTCAAAATAATCCTCCTACTAATAAACAATAAACGTGGCATGGAATAAAGAAAATCGAATAAATTAAGTAAAAAAAAAATCCACCTGTCCGTTGGCGGCGTTCTCACCGATGACGTAGTAAGTCTTGTTCGATTGTAAATCATTGTGCCAAGTCTTTTCCATTTTATTGCATAAATTGTAGAATATGTCGAAATTTGCAGTTTCAGTTTATCCATAATTGATAACTATCAATATATCCTCGAAATCATCTTAAAGACTAACTCAAATCCAGGGAGGATTATTTGACCAACAACTTAAAAATGCTACATAAATAATCGATAGACATAATTTATTATGGAGTAACTGCTAATTTTAGCCAGAGGTAGGAATATATATAATATTTCAATATCGATAGATAGATAGAGACGATCAATTACGCACAAATAGGATCTATATATGAAGTTTAGATAACTAAGTTCCTCTAATCTTTCAGGTTAGAAAGACTTGTTTGTATAGAAAGAAATGAAAACAAATTTTTACATGGCCTCGAACACTATCGACAGACAGGGAAAAAACAAGAAGAGCCACTTCAGTCATAAATGAAAAATTAGAATGCGTATTTATAAATGGATAACATTCAAAGTCGCATTCGCTGGTTTGTGTTGGCAGATAAAAAAAAATATCAAGTTTTCCAAAGAGAAAAATAATATCGCGTTTAGTTTTGTATTATTAAATAAAAATTGTTTTTTTTTTTTTTTAATTGAGTGGAAATTGTTTCAAGATCCTCCATAGACAAAAAGTTTCTTTCAGGAAATACGTATGAAATGCTAAACGATAAATCTAAATATAAGTTCTTTAATTTTTCACAAGATAAATATGCAAGAAAATACGTTTCATTTTATTCTCAAAATTTTCTCTCTAAATCGCTTTAATAAAGGGAAGATTTTAGTGGAGATTTTATTGATCGTTTCGAATAATTTGACATTATTTCTTAGATTCACAAGAGATTAAAAATCGGATTAGAATTCATATCAAAAGTGGAGGAAAATTCAACTATCAATTCAGAACTGATTCCTTTAAATTCGTAAACTTAGACAGGGACAAATGCCGATGAAATAGATTTAATGTCAACATTATTAAAATTGTGTCTCGAGGAATTCTGTATGAGCTGAGATAATGGCGAAATGATCCCGTTTAAAACGCTGTCAATCCCAAAAGAATTATATAAAAAAACAATCTTTCACAATTGTTTTAATTTTGACTAAGACATGTCTTATGGCATATCCTATTTGTGCGAATATTGCCTTTAATTTGGTTCACATCTGCATGCCTTATTCATAGGGATTTGCGTGTGAAACTAAATGATTTATCGCGATTATTACGCTTAAATCATTTATCGCCAATGAAAACATTTCAACAGATTTCAAGATTTTAGTTGTCTTTAATTCATATCCACCAGCTTTATATCATATATATATATATATATATATATATATATATATATATATATGTGTGTGTGTGTGTGTGTGTGTGTGTATAAATATAAATAAATATATATATATATAATTTTAGTTGATTTGCTTGATTTCAATTGCACAACTGCAAAGTAAATACAATTTTAACAACACTAACACATTGTGGCGTAAAATAATAAAAATGTATAATCATGTTGACCACATACACACACAAACATTCATGTGTGTATGTGTATGTGAGATTATGTGTATACGTAGCCAATCTATTTAGCAGTTTATCTAACTTTATATATATATATATATATATATAGATATATATATATATATGTGTGTGTGTGTTTGTGTGTGTGTGTGTGTACATATTATATGCGCGGTACTTATTAGAAAGCGCTCAATATCAGAGATAGAGCTAACATATAGGTTAGATAGATGTGAGTTTATGACCCTGGGTTTCACGCTTTAGTGATCGTCAGACAAACTGATTAATTTAAAAAAAAAAATGTGTTTATTTAGATTGCGTGTATAGGTGTTATTGTGGAAGTGGTGGGGGAAACTTCGTCGCTTATGTCATCGCACTAACGCAAACATCGATGTATGCAGACACGTATACATACTTGGTCGTCTGTCGGGACTCATACATATATAAACATATGTGGCCAGTTTCGGATATGACATATGTATGTATACGGGTGGTGTTGTGTCTATACATACGCATTTGTATGTTGAAATTCAAAGATTGGGAATGTAGCGAACATTTCTCGTGAATGTCTCGTGAATGTATACATGATTATATTATGTTATATATATATATATATATATATATATATATATATATATATTGTCATCCACAGGCAGACTGTTTCGCTGTATCACAGGACATCAGTGTTGGCTTGACGTCCGGCAGGGATGAAGATGAATTTATGCGTAATTATTTTTAGAAGAAAACACAATGACTGAGAGATCTTGATTCGATTTACTGAAGAATCTTGCATTATTAGCCGTAATAGTCACTGTTTACAAATCCACACCTCCTCCTCAGAGAGCTCAACCGAAATGATTCTTGTATGTCTAAGTGGGTATTCTTAATTGTTTATGTGTGTTGTTGCACCGAAACGATGCTGGACATAACTTTG